TATAATGGATGTGGGCTTGAGTACAGGGGGAAAAAAAACCTCACTTGTATATATGAATACACTTGTATATTCATAAAAACCTACTTATTATTAGACCAGATTAGTAATTCTAAAGCAAGGTTTTACCACCTGGGACTCTGGATAGAATTCAGGGAGTATGTGACTTAGAGGAGAAAAATACATATTCAGTTTCACTAACCTTTACCTGAAACTGAGTGTTCTTCCATTATGATTGTAGGCTGCAACCTTAGTAGAATTAATAATGCCTAGGTCTTGGCCATCAGTAGAAATCACGTTTTTTTGTATCATTCTGCAGTTACGTGTAAACAATATTTTGAGATATCTGTAACATTATAAGAACGTAATTAATATGCTGTTAAAGAGATACATTATTTATCACAAGGTTGTCTTTGTAATATTTACTATGTGTATATATAATTTCTTTGAAACATGTGATAGCGTATGTATTAATTTGCTGGGACTACTTTAACAAAGTACCACAAATTGAGTGATTTAAACAATAGAAACTTGTCTCAGTTCAGGAGGCTGGATCAGGCAGGGTGTCAGCGATCTAGGTGTCAGCAGAGCTATGCTCCCTCTGAAAGCTCTAGGAAAGGATGTGTTTCAGATCTCTCTTCTAGCTTTTGGTAGTTCCTTCGTTTGTGGCAGCATAACGCCAGTCTTCATGTGGCATTCTTCCTGTGTGCAAGTCTCAGTGTCCACATTTCCCCTTTTAATAAGGACATCAGTCATACTGGATTAGTGCCCCACCTTACTCCAGCCTGATCTCATCTTAACTAATTACATCTGTAATGACCCTGTTCCCAAATAAAGTTGCATTCTGAGGTACTGAGGGTTAGGACTTCAATATAAGAATTTGTGTGTTGACACAATTTAGCCTGTAACAATATGTAATGTTATGTATTTATCCGACTGCCAGATGGTTCCATTCTGCAGAGAATATATAGTCAGAAAGCATAGTCCCCACAGAATTGTCCTCACTTAAGACATCATCCACAAGCTGGGAGGTCTTCAGGACTAGTCTCATTTCAGACTGTCTGGCTACAGGATCTTCCCAGCCACTTTCAGGTTCAGTAACTCACTAGAGAGACTAGATCTTGCTGAAAACTATTACATTCACCGCCACCTTTATTACCAGGGAAGGATGCAAATTAGAACCAACAGAAGAGATGCATAAGGCACAGTCTGGGAGGGTTCCAAATGCCCAGAATCGATGACGAACATCATGTGTTGAGTATTGCCAACCAGGGAATCTCAACTTAGTCTCTGGGATCCAGAATTTTTATTGGGGCTCCAGTATATACTGCCCGAGTGGCTAGCCTTTAATTTCCAGCCCTTCCCCAGAGTTTAGGCTAATACCTTTAGTTTCTCATTAGTTTCCCATTACTCCAGAGGTCAGAGCTGATATGGCATATCCTAAAGCCTCCATCATAAATCACATTATTGACTCTGGTGTTCAGAGCCTCCAAGCAAACAAAGATACTCTTGAGAGGCAGGACATTCCAAAGGCCTAGAGATCCTCTCCCAGTAGCTGAGGCCAAAGATCAGACCCTCTTTAGGTATGATTAAAATGATTAATTCTTCTCTTTACATACACCATGATTCATAGTTTTAAGAACCTCTGTTTTAAAGGTATGCTTAAAATTTAAAATCTTTCGGGGTACCAACAAATTGCAACACTTTTTTATGGAGTTATGTTGTTTAACCTTAATGTATTCAGTTTCTCAAGAAGAAATAATTTAGAATTTGATAGGTAACGTTTCTGATTTCTCTTTAAAATTCTATCTCAAAGGATAGAATAGACCACATCACCTTTCTGTAATTTGCTACCATTTTTTGTTCCCCCTTGGACCTTTAAAGTTTTAGAGTTAAACTTAGAACCATAGTTTAATAAATAATACAGATGACCTTATTCTCTACAATTTGTTTTCAAGACAACTTATTACTGACTTGCAAATATGATTACAACAAATGAGAAGTGTTATCTTTTAAAATGTTTAGGTAGTCTCTTTTATCTGACATTTCTATTTAGTTCTGTGAATACAATTAAATGTTCTTAACCTTTTGACATAATTCACAAAATAGTGTTCTAGACAATGGTTCTCAGCCTTTTTTTTTTTCTGAAATACACTCAAGGAAAGTGACACTCTTGTCAGCAATAGTGGCTCTCTAAAACAGTGAGATTGAATGCCTCCAACCCCTCGTTTTCTTCCTTTCTGTTGTGAACTTGAACATTTCCATTGTTTTGTTTTCTCACCAGACCTATCAGATGAGAAAATTGAAACTGTAGAATAGAGGAAAAATGAACTGGCAAATGTGGATAAAACTTGAAACACTCAGTACACCTAACCAGCTAACAAGACTGGCTGCTATCATGGCAGAATACACAGATTGCAAAGGATGTGTTCAGTAGTTCCTTACTCATTCTGGTGTAATATTTTGAAATCTAAAAATTTCTTAGGTTTACAAGTGAGTTATGTTGAATATTTATGCTAATGCATCAATTTTAATATGTAACAAATTAAGTCTAAATTTATACGTCTCTTGTTTTAAAACTTACATGACAATTGCAGAGTGGGAAGTTGTCGCCACACACACAAGCTGAAATACTTGATAAATGCTGTGCTAGCAATATGAAGGAAATGCTTTGAAAGACCTGAAG